AAATGTGGCGGTAAACTATCTTGTAACTTCGCCACCGCAACGAGGAGAACTGAGGAGCTTCCTCTCGTGTCATACCACGATCATCGCGCGTCGCGGCGATCATCATGATTGGATGTTTGGAACATCACAAATCATGAGGTTTTCTCTGTTTTCTTACCTAACCTTCGTCAAAAATGTGCACATTTGCTTACGTTCCTGTCTCTAAATAACATAAGACTTAGGAGCCTCGCCTTAACTAGCAATAAATAGTGTTAATACAATCTAGCGGAGAAGAATCTTATGAAGATGAAACGTTGTGATCACACGTAGACGTCCTAAATGTTGTGTCGCTAGTCTAGTGCTTAGATCTCGCCTAGGAAATGATGAGTGCTTCATCACCTGTGGCTTAACCAAAGATTTAAATACATAGATGGAGGAGTCAACACATTGCTGGGTGACTGTTAGCTGCATCTAGCTAGTCATGTGACGAATGTGTCAACGCAAACTTCTTCTGAAACAGCTCTCGTCAGTATCATGAGTGTAAATGAATTTCATCAATTTCATGAATATTGTTTCTCTACATATATCTACTGTGTATGTGCTGGTGATAAAGACGATCTCAAATATGGAAGAGAAAGTATGAATTGTGAGCCATCTATGTGTTTACAAGTGATCGGTGCCTAGCTCTAGTACCTGACAGATTTATATTATCGGTGCTACAGGATGGTGTGCGTGTGTTTGTTTGTTTGTTTGTTTGTTTGTGTGCCGATGTGACTGCAACTCCGTCATGTGACAGATGGATAATTGTCAATGTCACCTTTCCAAAATCATTTACATGTGTGCGAGTTAAGTTTGAAAACTCTGTCACAATTTTTATAGAATAGACAAAATGAATATGTAGTTAATGGTGACTGCATTTGAAAACTTATCACTTTTTCTATTTATCCATCGATATAACATCATCTTAATAAACTATTTAAAACATTCAGTAATATTATAATAACAACGGTTTGAAATAGAGTGACTATAACTTTGAAGTGATGAACAGAATCTCGGTTTAATGTTATCGCGTGAAGATTGATTGAACGACATATTGTTATTAATATATTTGTAGCGGCAACTGTTTGATAAATATCATTTATATCATATACGTATTATACATTTGGTAAATTAATGTAAGCATATAAGATAATTTTACTCAAAAGCGATGTGGTAAAATATCTATTTATGAGATTATCATTGTTTTTGTTTGTTATTTGATATTTTAATTTAATACAAAGACAAGATGGATGCCAGTCGAGGCGGCGGCGGAGGTGGCGGCGGCCCGCGCCTCTCCTCTCCTTTGTTTATGTAAACAAACTGCTTACAATAGAACAGGCTATTTAACATAATAACTATAGCGGATGTCAGTCGCGTTGTTGTTCATTTTAGATTATGCTAAAGTATGGACAAACATATCCTTCATTACACCTTATGGCGTCATACTTACAACCTCTTTTTATCTAACTAAAATGATATCAGATACTAGTCCCTCGATATTTTATCGGATATGTTTACAATTTTTAATAACAGTTTCGTTGGCTGTGAAACACCTCTAGAAAAACATACTATGATCTCCTTTTTTGCTCGAATGCTGTTAGAAGATTGTAATGACACGGTTATTTGAAAATATAAATGAAGAAATATTTTGTTACGAACCGATACAAATATCCAAATAAATTAAAGTGTTAACAGTTTTTCCTTTCCAAAGAATATTTATCTAAATATGCTTTTATTAGACGTTACCATGTTTGTATTGAATGCTTTTCTTTTTGTTTTTTAATATTATTTTGATTATTTATATTTTAAGAATGGTTTATTGATTTTTATTTCGTGTTACCGTGCAACTTACGCCATTGTACTTTTACCCCGTACAAAGATTTTAACAAATAAGAATAGTTATATAATAAAGTACTTAACTCGATTATTTATTTGTAAATTTACTCGGAAATATAATAAGTATCGCAAGAAAAAAATGTGGAGACTGAAAGCTACATCTGAGAAAAAGTTATGGTTGATATTTTAGTTATCTTGTAATTTGTAAAATACAAAAGATCTCTTTCGTTTCGGTAGAGATATATTTATAAGACCGATTATTAAACTGTATTTTTATAGTGAAATGGTAATTATAATTTCAAATTTTTGATGTGATGCATTGCATGCAAGTAACTTGTATGCGAAACGCTTATGTAGCTTCTCCCGCGACCTCGGTGCGGTACAGCCGCGATGCGGGCCGGCTGCAAAGGACGGCGCTTCGCTTCAAAACAGAACATTGTGTGCGTCTCGTCTCTTATTTGGCAATCGCGATTCATTCGGCAAAATTATTTTGAATACGCTGAATAAAGGAATATTTACTAATTATTTTTTATTCTGCCTTTTGACTTTTCTGGTATTATTTCGATGCTCCTACGAATAAGCAGTTAAAGTATAGTTAAGCTGGCAACAGTAACAGTTTCAGAGTAGTGCCTGGTAGTGCCTATTTCGGCACTCAGTGAAACTACTCCAAGTACCACCTGATTTCTTCTCTATTAATATTTTAGCCGGTATTCCCTTTACGTCCCATCTCGTTTTCCTTGACGCTCGCATTCCCAGGGCACAGCTATAATAATGTAAACAGCAACACTAGTTAACTCGGGGTTTTATTTAATATCCACATAGGAATATGGATTTAGGTGTATAATAAATGCTTCTTCGTCCATAAGCAAAAAGTCTATGGACGAAACCGGACATAAAATTATGGCAAGACCAAGAAGCTTTGGTACTCTTTGCTTCAATTTGATTGGCTAAATTAAAACGACGCATTCCATTTTAACCAATAGAATGAGCAAAGATTTGACAAGTAGTGCATTGTGACCAATTATACCGTAAAGTACGGTTTACTATCAAATACGACAGCTTAGAGCTCCAAACAAACGAACGGTTCTAATTTCTAAAACGTCATTTATCTTCACTTCATTAAAAACATCGTCTGCCGCCGCCATTTTGTTGCTAAAAGAAGCGGGATTGCGGTACTTTGTTATAAATGCACGTGTACTGAGTTTTATAAAATAATTGAAAAAATAATTAGAACAAAGTGTTATAAGCGACAAAATGGTGCCGGTATGTGTTAATTGTTATTTTTTTTGTATGTTATGTAAATTGAATGAAATTGATAAAATTAATAATGTTTTCAGCAAACTAAAGTTTTCGTCGGTAGCTTGCCCCAGGGGTCCAAGCCGGAAGATCTTCGGAAGTTATTTGAGCGGTTCGGAGTAGTTACAGAATGCGACATAATGAACAGATGCGGATTCGTACATATGCAGACCGAAGAGCAAGCCGCGGCCGCCATCCGTAGCTTAAACAATACGACGTTCAATGGAGGTGTTATAACAGTAGAGAGAGGACGTATCAAGGAACGCGGGCAACGCGGCGGCGGGGCACGCGGTGGTATGCGAGGTGGAATGAGAGGATCCATGGACAGGCGCTCCGGAGGACCTATGCGCGGGGGTCCGCCGACCAGGGACGCTCCTTATATGAGGGACGCCCGGCCAATGGGCCCGATGAGAGGCGGCGATATGCGCGGCCCCCCCATGGGTGGTGGAATGCCAATGCGGAATGGTATGGGCGCACCGCCATACGACCGAAGCATGGAACGGCCTATGGGCTACGACGACCGCGGGTACAATGGCTACGGAGGCGAAGACCGACGAGGGTTTGCACTAATGGACGGGCGCGGCCGCGACCAGTACGGTGCACCGCCAATGTACGACGACCGACGCGGGTATGCAGCTGAGGATATGACGGGCATGTATGCGGAGGACAGGCGCGCAGGCATGTACGGTGACGAGAGGGACATGATGGACCGGAGAGCGCCGATGAGGCCGGGGCCTATGCCCGCGGCATACGAACGGCCGCCGCCTCGCGCCGCGCCCATTCCCGCTGCGGATATGTTCAGCAGGCGTTCACCACCACCCATGTCAGTGTTTTAGCATTATTTTGTTGCTTCTTTATGAAGTCTCATTGTGATTATGTACACAAAATCTGCATACATACATATGTACATATACACCTCACCCTCACAGTATATTTGTCATTAAACGTCATGCTTAGACATCTGAACATACATTATGCCTATCCCAAATTCTTTAGAGTATTTTGGATCAAGAATCTAGACTTAGTATGCTACTTAATTATTTACTATTTTACAACAATTTTGTACTTTAAAGTTATAACAATATAATAGTAATAATTTCCATTCATTTGCCTTTGTTGTTAGTGTCTCTAATGAATGATATTGTATGTTTCAGGCGTGGCGCGGCGGGTGTTGCTGGCGGCTACGACAGAGACCCCTATGCACAGCAGTACCCACCAATGGGCAGGTAAGTTACCACCACCACCTCGCTGACCTGACTGAACCTGGTCACACTTTACAACTATCAAGTAACTGCATGCATCACAACTCGTGTGTATACATAGAATAATTGTCTGTCAACGGTGAGTTTATTGTTAGACACAAGTGAAGTTTTCTCATGACTCAGTCTGTAGTTGACAAATTTTGTGCTACAAAATCACTGATACACATTCTAAAACCAGATTTGATTATACAATGATGATTGCAGTTTCTTGATGATTATTATTTTTGAAGTAATACTTACAGAAATAATTTATGTAAAAATATATATTGAATCACTTTTAAATGATCCTCTTGTAAAGAAAATCGCATAAAGTAAACATTAAGAAAGTTACAAGAGTTGTTTGTCAGAGTATAACCAAGAATACACTAGGTAACAAAATATCCTCCCCGGCGTGATGCAAAACATTTAGCTGTCTGCGGTGAGGTCGTGACTCGCACTATTCCTATGCTTCCTCCGTCTGCAAGAGTAGTCTGCACTCGTGTCGTATGTCAGTGCAGTGTAGTGCAGGATATTGTTTGAAAGATACCTCTCTGCCTTCTCGTCTACGTCTACGTCTACGTCGACGCAATGTTAATATCCGACGATCAGTTCGGTTGATATTCCTTCGACACGCGTAGTGTATGGTAGTGTGATAGTCCGGTGTCCGGTGAACACGTCGCTCCGTTTGTCCCCTAGTGCATTCAAGGTTTTATACATTTCCGATGTGCAACGATTACGTTATCGGATCATAATTAACGAAATTCAATTAAAGTGCAAATGTTCCGTGTCAATTATTTTTGTTAGCAAATGTTATATGTCGCAGAATATTCATTCGTTGTATTTTAATATGTATTTAGTTATCAGTGAGAAGAGATGAGATGAGAGGAGTCGGGATAAGTCACTTGTGGCTGGCGCACGAGGGATGTTCTAAGGTGAAACGTTTGTTTTAGGGGGAGTCACGCGGGTTGGTAACTGTCGGTACTGTCGCGAGCGGAGCTGTCGGTCTCACCGCTCACCCCGATACACACGATACACATAGGCAATAAGGTTAACATTTCGGGCCGGGCGAGGCACGGGCCGGTATTTCTCAATTTAAACTTATATGGAACACGTTACGATAAATGTGTAGCGAAGATATTTAGTTCCTAACGTACCAATTATTACATAAGAATTTACAGTTATTTATAAAATGAGAAAACGAGAAACGCGTTGCCGGCCGTGGGGTTGCCTAGTTGCGTTCGTAAGATGAGTGGATGTGTCCGCTCCCGCACGCTCAGCGGCGCGCCCGAGTCGCCCCGCGGTCGGACGCCGTCGGGCCCACGCACACCGAGCCCGCTCCGATCGATCACAATCAAATTATGTCAAATCATTTTGTATTACAATAAAGATAATAAAATTAGCACTCGCGGTTTGATTTACCAGCTGACGACGTCGCCCCACGGAATGTTATTGAAATTGATTTTACGATATATCGTTTTAGAATAATTAAAATGTATTTTAAGCTGTACCATAATTTACTATAGATTAAATCCTTTACCATTTTCTTTTATTTTTTTATTTATATCCTCCGATTGCATGTGTCATGTCTCGCACTGCGGCTCGTTGCTATATTATTTGCGGTTGCGGTTGTTACATAACATGCAATGGTTATATTATTGCAGGAGATAACGTCTAGGCGTGTGACCGGAGAGAGAGGTAGTTTGGTGGGTGACTTAGTGTTAAGTATAATGGTAGTGAATGCAGTAAGTTAGCGAAGCGAGGTGAGGCCGCCGATGCGGGGCGTTCAGTGCGGACGTTACTCGCTACAGTAAGAGCGCGCAGGCGGCGGCGAGGCGCGCTCGAGAGGCGTTTGCGTTGCAACACCGGCCCCCTGCGTTATCCAGTCGCAATACGTGATCGTACCCGCGACCCGTGCGGCCGCACGCACACTCGCACGCCACTCGGCTGCGGGCGCAGGTAGGCGACGGCGATGAGGTTTGCTTGCGGGGCACGTGTGGCGAGAGTTAGCTAACGCATCCGCAAGCCGCAGACGAGGAGAACGTTACAATCGTAAGTACGGGTGCGGCGACGCACCCCGCGGCCTAACGCAGCCGCCCGCCGGAGCAGCCAGCATCGCACCGCCCTCACAATATCACACGTCACACACACTTGTGAGCAATTTTAACATTTCTTTTGGAAGATCACACGTGCGCAATGTTTACATGTTGTAATGTGAGCAATACTTATCTATCGGCCATATATCGTGTTATATCTTTAAGAAGCTCTATACTATTAACGGAATGCGACGCGCATCATGCAGCTCTGTGAGCTTGCCTGACGCTAGTAGCTCGTCCGGTCTGACTCTCTTGTAAATCCTCAGACGTAACAATGAAGAACGTTGAGAATCAACTATGTACGTGTTTTCTGTATCATTAAAATACAATGTACAAATATATTATACAAATTTAAAAAGCGCACAAGTTGAACAGGGTGAACTCCGGACACATTAAAAATTTACATAATTTTTCTAAGTCTTTACTGTTACTATAACATTGTTGTGTGTTTAACAGAATCTGGTATCCCGAATGAAACAAAAAACATAACGGGCCCCAAAGGGAGGGTGATGTACGTCTCACGATGTGTGTGTATTTGATGCGCCGCCATCAGGCGCACACAGTAACTTCTCGCTCAGAGGACGCGGTGAGGTTGGAGGAAGAGTTGTCTCGGCCCGCCTCGAGCGCCGGCAGGAACGCATTCACAGAAGAGGATAATGTGGTAGAAAAACTAAAGGAATCATGATTAAATAAATGTAATGTTATTGCATACTATTTGTTTCTTTTTTACCATATCAGGAACATTTTCCTTGCTGTTGATACTCCAGTAGTCTCATCCAAACAGATTGATATCTTTATAATTCAAGTATACTTATATTATTATCTCATTTTATATCGCAATGTAACATACAAACATAACAATACTAAATGATAGAACTCGACAATTCTAAACATCGAAAACGTAGTAATCACATTCCTTCATAATAATAATAATAGTTAAAAGCTTACACATTAAAGTAGGAGTTGTGTCAATGTAAGCATTGAACGACTATCCATTGTCACCTGAGCGAGTCTAAGTATAGAGAGGCATTGTTGATGGCCCGGGTGACCTTGTGCAGCTCGGCGTGCAAGCAGGCGCGCGCCAGCTCGGCCAGCGCGGCGCCCGAGCGGGCTCCGCACTCGCCCGCGCCCGCGCCGCCGCCCAGCGCCTCCGCCAGCCGCGCCGCCACCTTGCCCGCGTCCTTGTGGTGAACGCTCTTGGGCGAGATGCGGCGCGCTCTCCTGAACAAGCCGTCTACGGCGGCGGTCAGGTTGAGCAGCGCGGCGTCGCTGCCACGCCGCGCCTCGCCGCGCCCGCTGCGCCCCAGCATGTAGCCTGCAATCAGTTCCCAATCTCAATGCAATTCTTCAAACAGCTGTGATGTAATTATAGGAATGCGCCACGTTCCGGTTAGATCGCATTAAGACTTAAAAATAAAAATAGAACCGTTTTTTAATTTCAATTTCAAAAAATCAGTCTTTCGCATTAAATCTATATGTTCTAAAAGCACATGAGTGCAACCTGGTACTACATTGATTTCTATATTCAGATAATGTTGACATTACACTATGGACGTATGGAAAGTTATTATCTCCATGCTTTACACCTTGGGACGTAACAGATGTTTTGTCAACTGTACGATATATAGAGCAAAACTGCAAATTGTGCAGTTTTGCTCAACAAAAATCCTAGAAAACAGTATTATTATACATATAAAATTTTGCTTGTTATAGGAATAACATGTAATGTCAACATTAGTAGATGCCTTTAACCGACTGCCTTACACACCTGCAATACCTGACTAGGATTATGAATGAAGGGCATTCCAGCGAGCCAGCGCACTGTCAGTGAAGTTAGGTAGTAAACAAAGCGGGTCACCTCCAAATATGCAAATGATGGCAACGAAGAGCGCGATGACTGCGCAGAGCCTCTTGATGGCGGGGTCGCTGGCCATGGCGGGCGGTGCCTAGTGTCACTGGCGGGGCCGCGCTGGCTCCTGCACTTGGCTATTTTTGGACGACGCGATCTTACGTTGTCTCGTCGATTCCCCGAGCGCAATACGCGCGTTTATTTCTTTGTTTGAAATATTTAGTCTCTAGGTTTTTGCCAAGTTTCTCTAAGATATGTATGTAGTTAGTATTTTATTTTTATACTGCGTAAGAATTTGCAAAAAGCCATTAGAAGACGGTTGATTTTACTAATAAAGAATGTAAAATACAAAATATGACTTTTTAATCGTATAAAGTTCATTCGTAAGCGTAAAAGTGTGTGTAAAGTACTAACGTCACGTACTCTGAATTCATCGCAAACAAGACCAGTGCTAGACGTCAGCAACAACAACGCTGCGACACAGAAAGAAGACCATCGCATAGTGTAAGCAATTCTGTGGTACAGTCTGAGGAGTGTGCGTGTCTTAGGCTTAATTTTAGTCCTCGTGCTTTTCTAATAAGAAATGGATTTGAAGTAGGAGAGGACGCATAGAAAGATGTTTTATTACCTGTCAATGTAAACGAGGCCGGGCTGGTACATTGGACAACTGAGATCAAACCAAGTACCGAGATTTAACCAGCGAAAAAAAAAATAGTTGACTATGTCTCGTGTTTGCGGATGTCTACGCAGCGGTCACCTCACTAGTTCGGCGAGTTCAGGTGGTCGCTTGCTCGTTTGTCATCTTATGATATAAAAAAAAATGTGAACTATATAGGTATAAATGTAGGAAAGGAAATGGCTCTCGAAGTAAAAAGCAAGGCGTAAAATAACAAATATTATTGCATATTAACTAGGAATTACAATTAAATATATTTCAAATCTTAATTTGTGTCACACTCAATAAAAATAATATGTTGTCTTCAATCTGTTACTTATAATATAACACAAAAGTCTTTGTAATTATTGGTGAAACCGACAGTGGATGTATCAGCAACCGGTTTTAATGCAAATGAGATAGATATTATATTATAAAATTGATTATTTACATTTGTCACATTTAAATATATATAAGTTTATGTAAGGTAGAAGTACAACACGAGAGACAAGTTTAGTCAACATTTAATACAATATAATTATCACATAATGCTATAATTTTACTTCTTGATTCAAAGTCAACACTCCAGTCCAGCAAAGCACAGTAATGAAAACGGACATCGGAACCAGTATACACAAGGAGGAGCTAGGAGGAGCTAGGAGGCCATGTTGAAGAGCACCTTGAGGTCCTCGATGGAGAGCTTGGCGTGGTTGGTGGAGCGCGCGCCGGTGAGCACGCTGTCGGCCAGCGCCAGCTTGTCGCGCTGCAGGCGGCGGATGGACTGCTCCACGGTGTCGCGGCACATGAAGCGGTACACGTGCACGTGGCGCGTCTGCCCCACGCGGTACACGCGGTCCTGCGCCTGCTGCTCCAGCTGCGGGTTCCAGTGCGGGTCCAGCAGCAGCAGGTGGCTGGCGCCGCACAGGTTCAGCCCCACGCCGCCCGCCGTCAGCGACAGCAGCATCACGCGCACCGGCGACCCGGCCTCGTTCAGCGCGCGCACCAGCGCCGGCCGCGCGCCCACACCCACCGCCCCGCTCAGCGTCACGCAGCGCACGCCCGCACGCCCCAGCTCGCGCTCCACCAGCGCCAGCACGCCCGTCCACTGCGACACCACCACCGCCTTCTCGCCTGCGGACATTGTGCTGCACGTCACGACACGTCCCCCCACCGCACCTCCACCTCCGCACGCGCCAGCTTACCTTCGTTGGGAAACACGTGCTCGTTCAGGCAGGCCATCACTGCGGCGATCTTGGAGGAGGGCCTGTCGAGCGCGAACACGGGGTTGTTAGCTGCCAGCACCGAGCGCAGCGCCTCCGCCGTGGTGCTGCCCTCCTCGCCCTCACCCTCGCCCTCCTCCGCGTCCTCGCCCCCCGCCGCGCCGCCCTTGCTCTGAACGCAATCAACAGTTGCTCAGTCATTTAAACGTATCCCAAATACCTGATACAGGTGAGCTACTGTCGCTATCGGTATCGCGTCCGGATTCTGCTAGATAAATATTGCACACTCATATAGGAAGTTAAAAAACGTACTTTTCTCTTAGGGGTGGTATCCTCGAGCACGAGCTTGTTGAGTTCGTCGAGCAGATCCTGCTCCGCGGGGTCGGACGCGGGGTCGGGCGCGGGGTCTGTGGGGTGTGCGGAGTCGTCGTCTCGCAGCATGGCGGCGATGAGGCCGCAGTGGCAGCAGACCTGGCGCAGACGCAGCAGCAGCACCAGGATCTCGTGCGACTTCACCGGCTTCACGCCTGCGCGACCACGAATAATTAAATAATGATCTCTAGTAAAAGATTATGCAGCGAGCGAGACCGGCGGTGTGGAGCGAGTCGAGTGGATTTAAAAGAATTCTACAGCGAGGCGGCGTCGTGTGTGTGTCTTGTGTCATGGGTCATGTGTGTCAACGAGGAGAGGACCTTGCAGCTTGACCATGCGGCGGTGCATGGCGTGGTAGGCGCCGCGGTCGCCGAGCTGGTCGTGGCGCTGCTCGGCGCGCTGCTGCAGAAACTGCGCGAACAGCGTCTTGGAGAGCACGAGCAGCTTCTGGTAGACGTTCATCTCGTCGCGCGAAAGCGTCACGTCCAGGTCGTGCGTGTCGCGCGCGGGCAGGCAGGCGAGCTGGCCGCGCGCCTGCAGCTGCTGCTTGGTGCGGCGCAGCATGATGCAGCGCATGATCGTGCTCAGCCGCTCCTGCCCGCCCAGGCTCTTGTTGTCGATCCACTTCTTCCACATCTGCGGGACACGCGGCCATGTACAGTGCGAGGGGGTAGCGGGTAGCGGGTAGACCGAGGCGAGACAGTACCTGGAGATCGTCGAAGGGCGAGCAGCCGAGGAAGCGCAGCAGCGCGAACAGGTCGAGGTCCTTGTTGTGCAGCGGCGTGCCGGTGAGGGCCCAGCGGCGACGCGCGCGCAGGCGGGCGGGCAGCACGGCGGCCGCGGTCGCGCTCTTGTGGTTGCGCACCACGTGCGCCTCGTCCAGGATGCAGCGCCGCCACTGCACGCGCATCAGCGCGCCGTTCTGACACACACAGGCATCGTGCAGTTACAGTTACAGGAACCCCGCGGCGAGGTGTACGTGAAGTGGGCACGTGAGTGTGAGGGGAGCGCACCTTCTCGGCCTCGCGCAGCAGTATGTTGTAGGTGGTGATGACGAGGTCGTGGTGCGCGAGGCGGTGGGGCTGCGTGGCGCGCGCGGCGCCGTGGTGCATGCAGACGCCGAGGCGGTGCGGGCGGCAGTGCCGGGCCGCCTCCTCCGCCCACTGCTGCACCAGGGAGGCCGGGCACACCACCAGCGTGCCGCCCCGCACCACTGCAACGGTCACACACCCGACCTCTCACAATTGCCTTCTACAAAAATCAAACACTAAATAGCTAAGTTATATTCCACGGTTAGCTTATTTAACTCGGTAAGATTTAGGGCCCGGGCCCCAGTGCGCAGGTGCAGAGGACTCACGCTGCTTGGCGCCGGGGCCGGCGTCGTCGTTGTCGTCGTCGCCGTCGTCGTCCGCCTCCTTGTCTCCGGCCACCAGCGAGATCATGGTGATGGTCTTGCCCAGCCCCATGTCGTCCGCTGCAAAGGAGCACGTTGTAGTGTTGTGTTGGCCGGCAGGGGTGGGGGCAGATGGTGGGAGGGAGACGGACCAAGAATGCCGCCGGCGGGGCGCTGCGTCTCGCGCCAGCGCAGCCAGGTGAGGGCGTGGAGCTGGTGCGGCATGAGCGTGGTGGCGAGGGCGGCCGGGGGGTCCGCCAGCTGGTGCTCGGGGGGGCGGGAGGCGAGGGCCTGGTGCAGGTCGCGCAGCCGCTCCAGGATGAGGCCGCGCTCCGCCATGTGCGTCGACATCGCTGGCAAGTGACAGACGGTGTGTGACAAGGCGGTACTCCGGCTCCATGTACCGATCGGTTTATTTGAATCATAGGAAACGAGCGCTCACCTTGTTTGCCAAACATCCTCGGCTGCACGGCCTCGCTGGCTTTCTTGATGTCGTCCCAGGAGAGCCCCTTGTCCTCAGAGTCGAAGCCGCCCTTGACGATATCTTCTGCTGTGGGAGCATCTGTAGGGATGTAAAAGCATGAGCTTTGTGCAGAAGATAGGGGGCAGAGTGAGCAGTAGGGACAGTGGGTGCTAGTGGCTGCACTGACCGGGTTCGACCAGCATGTTGGCGACCTTGTCCCCCTGCAGGCGCACGGCCTGCTCCAGCGCAGTCAGCCGCTCGATGAGGCGCACGCCGCCGTCGGGCAGAGTGCCCACGTCCATGTTCTCCAGGAGGTTCTGCACCACCACGACATATCACACGTATTAAATGCGGTATCGATGCATTAACAAAAGTTTTAGTTTTAGAAGTTCTATATCTCTCTATAAATTATCTTTAAAAAAATATGCTAAGTGTGCGCATGAGCCGGTGACGCGGAGAGCACTGACCCTGACGTTGTGGAGGTCCTCCTGCAGGCCGGTCAGCTTCTGCAGCTCGTTCTCGCGCACGTGCTTCTTCACGTACACCACCTGGTTGGGGTAGCTTGGTGGGAGCAGGTACTGCCGCATGTCCCCGCTCACCTTCTCGCTTTTACTCTCACTCCTCTTACTCGGAGACTTCTTCACCCTCGGAGATTTCTTCTCTTCCTTTACCTTCAGTTATATTAAACCAAAAATTCCTTATATTTTAATTTATTAAATTTCAAAACTATCGTAGTTCTCTGTTGCCGATGAGTTATGTTATTGTACTATGTTACCAGTGGCGCTTGTATTCTCGTTACAATTACAAAATAGAACCTTATTGAATCGCAATTAAAAAGAAGTATAAATGTAGGACGATTTTAGGATTTTTTTTGCACAATCTTTGTCCTACTAATGATTTGTCCTACTAGAAAATGACAATGTTTCAACATTGTAATTAATTCTGAATGCTATGATTTTGAAGATTTGAATTTAAAACAAAAACAAAGTAATAAGTAAAAAGTTTGAAAGTATCGGATAAATAAGCGGTTACCTGTTTAGGCATGATTACATTTGTAGATATCACAAACTATACACAATCACTTTTTTACTCCAATATATTTATGACAAACAAAACAATATTTGCACACGTAATTGTAATAAATCAATTTATAAACAAAGTGAATAGTAATTCGCGGCCCGCCGCGTGTCTGTGTACAGTGGTGTGGGCAGTGGTGACAACACTCTATACAAACTCCAGTCGTTTACCCACATAGACATGACATATTGATAAAATAAAATTATATGGGGTAGTCTGAAATTAAACCGTTATAATGTTCCGAATTAATCATTTTGGCATATTACTTAAGTTTTCGAACTCCAAAATATTCGATAATGACACGTCTTGAAATTACATATTTTAAATACAAAAGTTGAAAATTAAAACACACACAATATACCATAGATATAAAAAAGCACATATATATTAGGAGTTTCCGTTGAAGAAAAGAGAAAAGTAGACAAAGAGAGTTTGTGGGTGGTGAGCTTGTGGAGCAAGAAGCTCTACGGGGCGTGTAGAGGTAAATACTGACCGGCTCCTCGTCGTCACTGCTGAGGGCGATGACCTCTGGCTCGCGGTCAATGATGGTGACGTCATCGTTGATGACGTTCTCCTTGTAGCCGGAGTTGTCACGCCGTATGCTGCTCAGCACTTTGTTCCTGAGGGAGGCGCGTTTGCTGCCCGTTAGGTCGTACACTTCCACTTCCTTGTGAGTCAAATCACATATCTCGTTCTCCACTTTACTTTTGCCGTTTGATTTGTCTTTAAATGACTCATTAAATTCATTGGTGACATCTTTCAGTGGACTCGTGAAAGGTGAACAAGTTAATCTAGAAGTATCTTTGTCTTCTCTCGCATCGTTTGCTTTTTCAGGCGACATCCGAAGAGAGGCGCTGAAGTCAGGTAGCTCCCCCAAGCTGTTAGAGGAGCCCGGTCGCGAAGAATTCTATGCACAGAAATAAAACTTATACTCCAAAACATGAATTTAGGATAAACTCGTAATTTCCCAATAACAATACTTACATCATCAGACTGTATGTAGTCGGATTCGTCACTCGCCGTCTCCTTGGGCACGAAACCCATGATACTCATCCGTGTGGCGCGAGACATCACCATATGATCATCATATTCGTCACTCTCCACTTCACCACTTTTATCTTCACCCATAGAGTTGTCAGAATCTTTAGTAATTTCTTTATCAATACCATCATCTTCGTCATTAGTTTCTTCTTTGTCATTAATTTCATCAGTAGACTTATCATTGTGCACTTTCTGGCAATCTTTTTCTTCATCACTACTTTCAATATCCTTTTCATTTGTATCATTTAGATGAGTAACATCTATATTATCACAATTGTCAGTTATAGCATTAGCTAAAACATTACTCTTCACCTTGAGAGGTGTTTGCTGCAGACAGGCGAGCTTTTTGTTCTTGTTTTGTTCTATGACAATAGAGTTGTCCGTGTCAGAGTCAACAATCATTATGCGTTTTCTATTCTTTCTACCAATAAAAGAATCTGAAGACCTGCGCGGCGTTTTTGTGTTTGGTCGAGGTCGTGGCACAATTTCAGGAGACATTTCTGTTTGTTAAAATTAAATGAAATTAATTAAAACAAAATAATGTTATGATACTTGTTCGTAGTTACAAGAAATATATTTTAAATGAATATTTGTAATGTTTTAGCATGAGTTTTGTGCAACAATTCTATAAGTAGAACAAGTTAAAACCGAGTCAGGAGTTTTACTAGATAGTTTAATTTACCTTCATCAGAAGAACTATCGTCAGACTTTCTTGATGTGCCGGAGGAACTCATTGGGCTTTCTCTTCTTGTTTCTAAAAGCAGATTGAAGTATTGCTTGTTTTAAATAATGCTTTACTTTTTAATCAAGTGCAATATGGGTTCATGTCAAGTTAGCTTTTGCTAGTAATAACCCCCATAGTAGAATCAAAGAAAATCTATGGATACTGGTATCATAAAGAAAAAAGATTTGATTGTTTATTTCTTTGCATTGGATAAGCTCTGAAACTACTTTGATAATTTTTTATTACTAAGCTCTGAAACCATTTTGATTGCTATTGGAAAAACTCTTTCACTATTTGAAGGCTCCACTATTTTAAAATCGGTTTAGTTTTTGTTTTTATTTGTTCGATGTAAAAATACAAATCTTTCCTCTTTATAGTAGTGGATTAATTGTTTGATAAATAATGAACTTGATATAAAATAATAATCCGTGTATTTACCATCCTCACTGCTGGATATAAGGGTGGGGGCTGCATCGCTAATATTGTTGGTCGATGTTGAAGAGGACTTTTTAGCATTATCGTCTTCGTCAGATGCATCTAAAAGAAAAAACATGTTTTCGAAGTTAAGAAACTTCTATGTTTCCTAGGTAACTTTACAATAGCGAATCATGTCGAATTTTGATAAAACTACCTTCGGACGCCGATTCCTCAGATTCTGAAATGAAAACCGTTTGATTCTTAAAACCTAGTTTCTTTTTAGTTATAAAAGATTGATCTCCTACAAAACTATCGTCAATAACTTCTGTTTCAGAGTCGCCTTCTACTTTTGTAGAATCGCGATATTCAAAAAATGAACTTTCCATGTTTTATTTAAAACGAATACAATTCATACATTATAATCGAACTTTGGTTTTGGGTAAAAAATTCAAAACAATTTAAAAAATATTGTCGTTACGGCAAACGTCAAACTTGACAAGCATGTGGTGTTGCCATTGCTAGTCGTCTTACTGCTACCTTTTTTCTGTCATCTTTATAAAGATTCTTATTATTTGGTAAGTATTAAAAAATTCCTGACAGGAAACAGTATAGATATGTAATGAGAAATTTTATCTATTCGGTGGCCATCCAAATGGATCGTATGTAGGGTCCGGGATCTTGATAACGCACCACTGTCCCACTTATGTTACACGCGACCCGCAAATAATCGGAAAATAAAGAAGTGTCTGAAGATGTTAAAAGTTCAGACAAATACGGCAGAATACATTGTTTATTTCCATTTTCTTACACAAAAATCACCTAGAGTATAAAGGCAGAGAAGATAAAATAATGTAAGGTAAAATTGTAGCATATTTGTTTATTAGAGAAACTTAAAATACAAGAATGAATATTTAGGCGTAGTAGCTGAGATTGGCCTTCTTTTTGGCTTGCACCTCGAGGATGGCATCCATAAAGTCCTCGTGCGTGACGGCGGAGGCTGAACGACGTAGGGCGATCATGCCCGCCTCCACGCACACCGCCTTGCACTGCGCGCCGTTGAAGTCGTCCGTCGAGCGCGACAGCTCCTCGAAGTTCACATCTGGGCTCACATTCATTTTTCTGTAAAATATAGAGTGCATCAGACGCAATACTACAGTGTGATTAACAGTGAAATCTTATGAATAAAAATTAAAAAAGTTCAAAACCAATACATTAAAGAGTTTAGAAGTAGAATATGGTTGGACAATACAAAAATTTAAAATCTGTAGTTTACTGTAAATAATCTTTTCGATTTACCGTGAATGAATCTGCATAATTCTTGCTCTGGCCTCTTCATTGGGATGTGGGAATTCTATCTTCCTGTCCAGACGACCAGATCTGAGGAGGGCAGGATCCAGGATATCTACTCTGTTTGTAGCAGCTATGACCTGCAAAAACAAGACAATGAATTAACCCAATTTTACCAATATATTGATTTTTAAAAAATGAAAGCAAACAAAAGAGAATGAAGGAATGTAATGTTAAGTATTTCTATATAATTTTGTGAGCCAGTAGTGATACAGTAGCATTTGTAATGTATCTGCCAATGATATGTTTAATATTAACACACCTTAATGTCAGCCGTGGAGCTGAAACCATCAAGTTGGTTAAGAAGCTCCAACATGGTGCGCTGAACTTCACGATCTCCAGCCTTTTCTGAGTCAAACCGCTTTGTACCAATGGCATCCAGTTCATCAATGAAGATGATGGCTGGTGCTTTTTCTTTAGCAAGAGCAAAGGCATCTCGGACCAGCTTAGCTCCATCACCTGTGATATTAAGTATGACAATGAATGAAAATAATCTCTAAATATAGTAGTTTCTTGTTACATCAAAACAATATTATAAGGAATACAACAAAATACAATGTTATGTTACCAATAAACATCTGCACAAGTTGTGGGCCAGCAAGTTTGAGGAAGGTAGACTTAGTCTGTGCAGCACAGGCACGAGCCAGCAGCGTCTTGCCGGTTCCTGGGGGGCCATACAGCAGTACTCCCTTGGGTGGGTGGATGCCCAAGTTGACAAACTTCTCTTTGTGTGTCATTGGCAACACTACTGCCTCAATAAGTTCCTGGAAAAAGGAATAGTTGTTGTTAGTATTCTGGGAAAACTTAATTGTAGCATTTAATGTTTGGAGATAACATAAATCTTTGTTATAAAAGAATAAAGCTTTACTGACCTGGATTTGTTTATCAAGACCTCCAATATCAGAGTACTGTTCTGTTGGCCTTTCATCTACCTCCATGGCCTTCACCCTAGCGTCGTACTCGGCTGGCAGTGTCTCCAAAATCAAGTAGGAATCTTTGTTTACTCCTACCAAATCACCAGGCTTAAGCTTTTCAGCATCAACTAAGCCAATTACTGGTAAGAAATATGTCTGTCTGGTAGATGTTTTGATGACTGCACATTTTCCCTTTCTCTGAGAGTCTAAATCAACCACAGCGCCATCTTCTTCTTCCTCTTGGGGGTCTACATCGAGGAGTTCTATGACGTTTGAAACTAAATAAGGAAGGGTTTTGTTTACTTTGATCTTCTCGGTGTTTTCTTTAATTTTATCATTCTGTGCTTGCAATTCGTGTGTGATTCTCATCACCTCGCTCTTCATAATCTTGATTTCATTGTCCAAGAGCCTGGAACGGCCGATAATTTCGTCTGTCGGCATACGTAGTACTTCATCGCTTAGTGCTTCTTCTCCATCCTCCCAGATCGATTTATCTTCAAGTGTCGTGGCCATTATTATTTTTGTAATTTAACACTCACTACAAGTACGGATTTAACCTTTTAATAAAACAAAAATCGAGAAATCAAACTTTTCTTGCTTACAAATCTGAAATCTGAATTGTCATTCATCTGGTTCAGTGTTTCTATTATATAAAAATATATTCCAAAATCGTTTGTCCTTTTTACATTCATTTAAAACTTTTATAAAAGTTTTTCTCGTCCACTAATTATAAAATACCACTAAATATAATTTCACTCAAAAATGGAAAAAAAGCTTTGCAATTACAAATCTAAAAGTGATTTTTGTTGGGCCTCTGAACTCTGAACAATAAAACTTTTTATTTTATTTCAACAATTGACATCTGACACTGACACTGACGTGGAACTGACATCGGTTTCAACTGTTTCCATTTGGCACATTTGTGTTTTGTGCTAGTTTTTCACGCATTTTGAGATATTTTGTCCATAATCGCCGTTTGATTTAGCCTAAATAATTATAATAACAATGGCCTTATCAATGTTTCTTCGTGCTCCAGGTACTGTAGTTAGAAACACATTAATAGTGTTTTTAAATTCACATTACATAATAGATGTTTTGATGTACTATTTAGCTTTTTGTTGCTATTTTGTAGATTTATAGAGCCTAAATTATCGATGAAAAACTGTTTTTAAACAGCACATTTCGAAAACAGTCCGCTTTTGTTTAGAGTAGCGAATGAAATGGGAAAACTGAGTTTTGGTTTATCAGATTTTAAATAAATTTTATTTATTTAGTGTGGTCTAAAATAAATGTTTTATAAAACACAGAAAAACGTTGATAACTCTTTAGCAACGTAGCTAAATAATTAACTTGTTTTTAAGTTTGATAAGAAAAACATTATTTATAATTTTCAGTTTGCACAAACCAGGCCTTCAGCAAACAGATAATGCGGCTAGCAACATTCTCAGCAACAAATGGGAACTCATTAACTGCACCAACACTTCCCAGTGTTGTCTCTCTCAAGAATATTCTCCTCAAATCAGAAATTACACCAATAACCAATTCGGTAAAAATAAATGCCATATTTATTTCATCATATAGCATGCTGCTGTATTTAGGCAGTGCATTTATAAATAATGTGCCTTTTTAGGTTCGGTCATTCCGTACATCAGCAGTGCGCATGTCTGATGAGAAGCCCCACGACCACGCCAAGCTGTGGATCATAGAGAAGGGTGTCAGTGCTCTGCTGGTCCCTCTCATCCCGCTCGGCCTCCTTGTTCCCAACAAGCTATTTGACTCTATTCTAGCCATCCTCATCACAGCTCATAGCTTTTGGTAAGTTTTTTTTTATTATTTCATTATTTCAATATCCTCCTTTCCTATTTCATAGATTTTACCTATCTAACCAACAACCCCCAACTTTCCTATTAATTCCTTGTTCCATCCCATCCTGTGACTCTCCAGGGGCATGGAGGCCTTGGTGGTGGAGTATGTGAGGGTTCTCCTCTTTGGTCCTCAAATCCCAAAGATAGCAATGGGTGTTGTGTACTTCTTCACGGTGCTACTGCTGGGTGGTCTGTTCTTCCTGAACATGAATGACATCGGCATGTGTCGCGCCTTTTGGAGAATTTGGCGCAACATGAAGAAGCCCAGAGAGGTTATTTGAGAATTGAGTAGCATAGTTTGTTTTAGCTTGGGTAGAGGTGACGAGCGAGAGATTTTGTACAAATTGACTAACTAATGAGACCTAAATATTCTGTTCATGTTCATAACTTAAAGTAGTAGATATCTCAAAAGGTACTTTATTTACGTTATTAAGTTGGATCGTTATTATTTTTTCGATAGTTAAAAATACATTATGTGTAATGAGTGTAGTCATTATAATTTGATGAAAGATTTTTGATATTTTCCGTTGCTTTTTTTTGGCATCTTTGTGTAGTATAAGTTTAATGTAGATGTAAAAAGTAGAACACATACAATAGCCTACAATCTTTAAAAATTCAAATTTTTCAGAACACATTCAGTGCTGATACGATTTTCACACATTAAACCGGCATGTAGAGAAGGCAGCAGTGCATGTGTTAACCGTGTTTGTTGTCCCAGGGGTTTAGAGGCGATCGCTGTTGACTACGTCCGCGCCAGTATATTCGGTCCCGTTATACCCAAAATTGCCATCGGCCTGGTGTACCTGCTGTCCATCGCGACCCTGGGCGGCCTCTTCTACGTCATCAGCCACGACGTCGGCATCGGCAACGCTGTCCGCCAGCTGTGGGCCGTCAAGTCAAACTCACACAATGCCTGAATCTTGTTACGACAAACTTAGATGCTGGCACTATTCAAACAATTACTCCTGTTTGTTAATTGTTATTATTTTTTTCACTTGTACTTAGCTCATTTTTGTTTAGTAGTCCTGTCGTCCGACATATACTTAATGTTTTAAACAACATGAGATGTTTCAAACATCTTCAATTGATTTTAAATTGTTTTGTGATCGAAGATCGTTATTTACTTTTTACGGAATACTCTGGTTGTTATTGTTTTATTAGTATCATTCCGATTCGGAAATAAAATGTAGTATTATTATGTATATTTGTACCGGCATCTAAGAGTTCACTACATGTTCACTATTACACAGTAAATAAAATTATATTATAAATATTATTGCTTTTTAACAAAGACATAAACAATTTAGTTGTTTAAATTTAGTTGCGTTCGATATTTTCATCTCCTTTGAATTTATTTTCTATTTAATGTAATGATCATTGATATGTAAGTTGGCTACTTGCATATAAACTGTTTGTTGTCCGCGTGTTCGTCTCCACACGATGATACATTTCTGAATATTATTATAAAATAATTTATTGATAGAATAATAAACGTATTATAGTTAATGTTATTGTTTAATTTTTTAAACCAAATGTATTGTACGCAGGAAATGAAAAAACAGCTTCATTAAACCATTTATATTAAAATCAAAATGATTACAAATATAAACATTATTTGAACCGCAATAAATAACATTGTTACCTTCTTAAACAAATATTTGACAAATTCCCTAAGAGTTATAGTTAATGTCGGAAATATAACATAATATGTTGAATAATATATTTAACAATATAATAATGATGTGTACATGTCACTCCTGAATATAAAATAGTGGAAATGATCAAAGAATCATTGCGACTGTTTCACTTTAGGGAACATACTCATACTACGTGACCCGTTTAGGGGGGGGGGGGCCTCAGGTTTTTGTCACGTAGTCGTTACTTGTTATTTTTCATAATACATAATACACTAGTAATTTAAATATGGATGCAGTCTTATGCTATAAAGAAGAGTATGAGCGAAATATTTTTTTTTCAATTTTTGCCTGTGAAATGATTAAAAATCATAATTATGAGTTACACTAAAGGGTCTTGGCATTTAATATGAGTGGTTACAGAAGGGAGGGAGGGGTCGAAAAAACTAAAAAAAATAGGTAATGTATTATAACATGGGTATGTTCCCTTAGATATGTAACAGATTCCCGCATACAGAAAATTCTTTTTATAAATATAACTTAAAACAAGTGTAAATCACAATTTTAACTATTATTTACTTATACAAGACAATGTAATTTACACAAACAAATAGAAGAACAAAACAGATTAACTTCTATATAAATACTTGAGCGTACACTGTAAGTACATAAAATACTATGAATCTCTATTTATTATAGTTATATAATACTTTTTATATAAATATTTTCATACTAAATCGTCACATAACGTCTTTTTAATTAAAATTGTATAATCTTAATTTTGTAAAAGATATAACATAATTATATATAAACATTTGAATAGTACCGTGTTTATTGAAAATAAATACGGAAGCACTTCCACTTTTTTTTTACAATAAATAATAAATAGTGTATCTTTGCGACTGTAAAAAATAATATTTTTTCTTTTGTACTTTATAAAAGGCGAAACAAATTAATATTGCATTTTTAATGACATAAATATAATTACATTTCAAAAAAATGTGTAAGATTCATGAATTATTGCTTTAGTTAAATTCGTTTGATCGTTTGTTTCCCGTTGGGATCCGAGCGATGTATCGCTCCAATGAGAAACCTCACTTTAAACGTAACAAAGTTAAAATGTCTCACTTTACAAACAAACAAACAAATATATGTAATTAAATTTCAATAATAATTTACACCGTCACATTTAACATGTAGGTACAAGTATGTACGCATGTAGCAGAACTGTACACAGAGATACAACTAGAGCTATTGGGAACAGCGAACTGTTAGAGGTCGGTGTCGGTGTTGGTGTCGGTGTCGGTGTTGGTGTCGGTGTGAGTGAGGAGATGTCGCGAGTGGAATATGTGCAGCGCCTGCCACTGCTTCGTGTGCAGAAGTATGTGAGCTCGCTTAGACCTCATGTGCTCCACCGCCTGCTCCGGGGACCAGCCGTTTTTCTACAAAATAATATTTTCTTCTTTTATACTATACAATCGTCACCTCCCGTCTGCTACACATTTCATTTGGGCGACACGACAGGTATTTCACAAATAGATCTTTGTTGTGTTAAGTTTAAGGCTCTTCGTACACGAGGCAACAATGGCAACAATAGCAACCCGCACCGGGCCTGTGTCGTTGATTATAGCTTAGTCACTGATTAGAGTAACGTAGTGAGCTGATGATGATGCACTATAAAATATTAGTTTGGAAGATTTACGTTGCCTTGTATTATATAAAAAGGCCAATGGTCGCTCCTTTGTGTAATTGATACATGAGGTAAGCATGTGAGAGATGTGAGATACAGACCATCATGAGGTAGCAGCCGACGAGGGTGGCGCTGCGCGTGCGTCCCGCCTTGCAGTGCACGTACACGGTGCCGCTGCCCACGTGCTCGTGCTCGCGCTCGGGCACGCCGCGCAGCTTGCCGCCGTGCGGGAGAAATCTGATCACATACATAATACATAAGCATTAGTTACAACTCCTTTACATATATCAACGTTAACGTGACACGTGGGAAGATATGACCACAACGGAAGGGAGAGACAAACACACCTGTTGATGAAAGTGACGCCGTCGTAGAGTTTGTCCTGGTCGGGCGCCTCGAAGATATCAGTGGTGGCGAGCTGCAGGAAGGCGACGCCGTGCTCGCGCCACTTCTGCAACAGTCGCCGTCGTAACAATACTTTAAAACACACGATGAATTGTGAATTGAACGAAGCATTCGAATCTAATGATTGACAACAATGTTCACATTAACATAATTTACATTAACTCGAACAGTAACTGTATAATAATAAAAGTTGAATTTAAGTTTAAATTAGATTGCTCATGTCAATGACTTTAATTGGAATATCTTTATAAATATTTGGTGCAATTTTGTGGAAAAACTCAAAATAATTAATATAATTTAACAAAAACAAATGGACAAGTATTTCTTCATTTATATAATGTATAATGATGCAGAAGGATAATAGAGATATTTGCATATCGTATTGTGGCCTCTGAGAATAATCTATGATCATGTGCCGCGTACATTGCAAACCGTGGGATCGACAAATGTACTGAGTGAGTTGTTCTGTTTACAAACATTATTTGAACTAAAGCATGAAGTACAATCAATTCTGACAATTCATCAACCTTTAATTAACCACAAGTCACTGAAGGTTCTTTATGTGTCCAATTTTTACAATACTTACTTATAGCACAATACTAAATGCTTGTAACGACAAGAAAAACATCGAATGCAAACGTTAAGCTATTGCTAGTAATAAACAATGACTTTTTTACGTAACCTGAGCAAAAAGTCCTCGTCCACAGTTTAATTGTTATTGATTATTTGCTTCAAGTACATTTAATTATTTATTGTTTTGAATAATATCTCTGTAATATAATGTCGAGAGAAACGACTGGAAATATATGGAAACAGTAACGTAGTCTTTTACGAATTTTCGTTCATAAACTAGCGAGTTCGCGAGACATTTAAATCTTTCCTTTAATTAAATCTAGGAGGTTTTGATTGAACTTACGCGAAGAATTAGCAATCTTATGTTTTCCTAAATGTTCTTTCGAAACATTATCTGTGTTGTGTCAAAGATAATGACCGGTATGACGGCATGATTCATAGATATTAGTCTCTGAAACCAACGGCTTATTTATCCCATGCTACAAATAATATATGCTATTGAATTTACACAACAAATAAAACATTCAAAAGAAAATAAAGAACTACTTTGTACCAAGTTGATTTATTTCAGTCTCTATGTGTACGCATTTAAATAGTTATCAAACTAAAATCGCTAAACATTGCATTATCACAGTACAATGGAAGTTATCTTATTTTTAATTTTGATATTTCCATCACAATGGCGCGCGGGGTCGAAGATGACGTGCTTAAGATGTTCTCAAACATGTTTCAAATATTTACAGATAAATAATAATGTAACATTACAGTTCATAACTTTTAAATAAACATACAACAGATTTCATTGCCGCTTAAAACTAGGAAAAATCAACAATATTTTTTAAATTAATAACCTAACCTATCATTGTAATCTATCCACGGCTGATCGATTTGTCATAATAATAGCATTTTATTAATAATTACACATTTTACCTGATTGTCAAAACAAAAATTAATTTTTTCTCTTATGTAATTATGTAAAACATAGATGATGCAAATAAAATATTTTTTTTTTCATCTGCTATTTTTTCCTTCAATTGTTTAATGGAAAATTTATCATAAAGGTCAAGCTCATTAAATCAGCCAATATCTATTGTACATGTCAATGTTGCTCGGTCTACACATTTGTTCATCAATTGACTATCAAACAGTTGTAGGCTATTGATTAACATTCCATGTAACTGATATGCAGATGAACAGACAAAATAAGTTATAGGAAGCCAAAAAAGAATTTTGCATAGTACATACAATTTTTCCCATTGGCCAGAACTCAGTCTTTCCTGTGATTTGGCCTATTTGACCAAAGGTTCTGTTGACCTGGACCGTATTGGGACAAGGTTGATGTGTTCAGCTGGTGAGAGTGTATTGGCTTAAATCAATTAATTTACAGTGTTTGCAAGATGCTATTAACACACAGTACTATAATATATATGAATGTATTTGTTTACAATAATCTATATATTTATGAAATGTTGTTAAAGTTTTTAAATTTTAATAAAATTTCTATAATGGTTTATGTTTAATGGGAACGATGATATTTTAAATATGTATGTTAAAAGGACAACAATGTTTGCATGTATATCACAATGTATCCTTTACATAATGACATTTAAATATAGTAGGAAAGTGTACATTTAACTGTTTATTACAAAGATAATTACATAGGTGATGACCTTGAGGTTTAAGATATAAAAAATGAGGTAGAAAATATATATTTTGTTTGTTAGATGAAAAAAAATGTATTATGCACACAATTTATTTCTATCTTTATTATGAAATGAAGAAAAAGGAACTCACCTCAGCATCATTGGAGAAGATCTTCAGTTCATATGTCTCGTTCATGGAGACCACACCTTTTATGTTTTCCTCCTCTATCAGCTGGAACCCCACAATACACCAACTTTATAACTTCATTAAACATTTATTAAAGCTATTTGTATCATACTTACAATGTTTATGTGCAGTTACTATTTAGAAGCGTCAATAGCCTAATGGTTAAGGGTACGGATTTCCGATCACGAGGTTGGGGGTTCGAATCCCGCCATTCGACTATTGTCGTAAACCATATCCTAGCACAAGTTTAGAGCTTATTTGGAATGGTTAAAGAAATATTAGTAAATTTACAAAAAAATCTGCTAATATATTCTAAAAAGAAAAAAAAAAGTTACTTAGACAATAATACAAGCTGTTCAATTATATTTTAATTAAAAATACATTTAATTTAATTGCATGTTGAATTACTTCCATGGTTAACAGTAAAACGTTAAATCATCAATTAACATAGTTCTTTAAGGAAAGCATGACTTATTCAGTTAATAACTAGGATTTTTTTTAATAAGATTAAAATAATAAGAATGTAACAAATAACTCTTGGTTATAAGGAGTATTTATTAAAATGTATGATTCTATCTCATAAATATTTTCTAGATTTGAACTCATTAAAATTGAATGAAAATATCTGATAAAAGCAAATAACCTACATATAATGAAATAACATGCCTTTTTCGTCATGCTCTGGAATGGAAGAGCCCCCAGTATGACATGGTCGTCTATCCTGTCGTACCAGCGCCGACTGGTCACCTTCTCCATCACCACATTGTACAGCAACGTCGGATAAAATGTAACTCTGGCAAACATCGCGGTGCCCTGTCAAGATGCAGTTAAGTTAACGACGTACATGTATACTCCTCGCACGCGATAATACGCTAATAATTCAAAGGCGTGTAAAGGTATGACGCTACCATGGTGAAAGCAGGCTGTTCTTCGTGGTGGGGATTGAATTATAATTTTTGTGAAGCTACTTCTTTCATTCTTTCAATTTCGACTGTGCTTCGGATTTGTTTTGACAGCAGCTGTCAAAGTCATAGTCCGGAAAAGTGACTTACACACCTCGTTCGGAAATTTAAAGTTTAAATGCTTTTATGAATTTAAGTTTAATGGAAAATAAAAAAGCCTAAACAGAGACCCATATATGAATTGAAATAATTAATATGAAGTATATATACCATACTAATAGAACAGGGAATCAATAAGATACAGCAAACATAAGTAAGTTGACTAACATCTAATTTAACCTTTATCCTCTGTAAACTGCAAAAACAATTTGAATTCACAGTTATATACTTAATATTATAAATACGTATGTTTGGATGGATGGATTGATGGATGGATGTTTGTTTAACCCTTAAATGGACAATGTTGTTTTTAAACAACATACTAAACATCACAGATAAAATTATCTTTATTTTATTTTTTTGTTAATTTTGACAACTAGTTCTTATTTCTAAAAAAAATAGTAAATTCATGTCTAGATTTTTTTACTCATTTTTCCTAGACAGTAATACATGTCTATTACACAAATATATTTTTTTAAAACGTAAAAAAAAATCGTCCATTTAAGGGTTAAGGTATCTCCGGAACGGCGGAATTGATCTCGCTAAAATTTGGCATGGATGTGGAACATAATCTGGAAGAACACATAGGCTTTTTAAGTTTGATTTAAATTCCGCGCGCACTGAGCTGTGGGCGACAGCTAGTGTTTAATATAGGCAAACCTTTCTACTTATTTAATAGGTTTTCTCTTTTTTCCGCTACAAAATAAAGAGAAACCAATGTTTAAAACTGTACATTTGCTTTACAAAAACAGAAGGCGCAGTTACCACTGTTATGTTTATTTTAGCGACTTCAAAAAAGGAAGACATTCTTAATGCATTCGTACTTTTTAAGAATTGTTGTACATATACTTGCGATGCATATGTTTCGAAGGTATAACAGGTCCAAATTATTTAACTTTTATGTACTTAGTACTTGTAGAAACTTACATAGATCACAATTTATTTTATATAATACAGGGTTATAAATACAATTAAGTACTACCAGGTTAATACCTGGGTACAACTAGATAAAAATTATGTTGAGGTCAATATCTCTCGAAATGTAAATGATGTTAATAATCTTCAGGTTATATTTAAAAACTTGTTACTCCAACCATGCCGTATGCATATTTTCCTTGTAAGTTTTTTTGTAATGTAAGTTATTAATTTGCCGGCTGTGGCGGGTTTCTTTCAGAAATCGAAAGAGATATCATCGGCGTGATGCATAGCAGTCATTTGTCGCGCGCAGCGGGGCGCGCGCTCGCCGCATCGCCTCATTGCCCCATCGTCCCATCGCCCCATCGTCCCATCGCCCGGCACAATTCTAAATTAAATTAAACACCAGCAAAAACAACGCCAACATCGGATAACCGTACTAGGTATTTCAGAGTACAAAAGTCTTAGTCGAGAGTTGAATGGTCTAGCTTCTTACACGAAGTACTATTAGTAGAATGTATCGATATGTTTCCGTGACGTCAATAAAGCAGTCTCCACTATGCAACCGTTGGGCGTTGTTTCCGTGAAGGAGCCTTATATGAAGTTACAAAATAGTTTGGGAGTAGTACTATTATAGTAGTATATATACGTATAAGTTTTATGATAAAACAATTGGTGTTTCGTCAGCATGATCACAGGCGCTCCGCTCCGCTCACTACATTTACATAGATTCGATCAACACTAATTTGTCTATGACTTCCGTAACAAAACAATTTAAAGTGAAAAAAGAGCTATTGTCTCTGGTCTTATTTTATTCCACAGATAATTAATTAATTTAATCACGATTCAGAGTTCTCGGAAACGTAGCGAAGGGGTCACGGGTCAAAGAATTACGAGTAAATAATTAAATTTAATGACACGTATTTGTCCAGAGACAAAAAGGGCGTGTTATATCTGTTGTTGCTCAGGATTTCACGCTTTCGGTGTAAAACAAACGTTAAAATTAATTAACGTCTACGAGCTGATAACTACAGACAGATGTCATTATTCTGTTGCATACCTAATTAGTTTAATCAATTTGAGGTAACTACAATCGTAGGAACGTCAATATTACTAATTCTAAATGTTGATTTAGAAGTGATAATTAAGATTTAATTGAATGAATATTGTAGTAACGTTCAATATACACTTATGTACATATTAATCTTCAAGGACAAATGTTCAGGAACTCCGCATAATATAATCTGGCATTGCACCACCTACACACGACACGGTCATTATTTAGCGATATGAAATAATTTAATCGATTGTTTTTTCTCGTCCCGCGCCGCACCGGCCGACCGAACGCGCCGACAAAACTGATCGCTTCAGAGAGCCGACATAAAGTGCATTAAGCCTCGATACGATATCTCATCTGTCATCATTAATGCCACAGCATCCTAATAAGTTTGCTACAATAAATAAAGGGGGTATATCAAAGAAGCGCGCTCTCGATACAACACGGTGACTACACTGACTGACTCAAATTGAGACTAAAGTTGGAACTAAATTAGAATTGGTTTTCTTGACATAAAGAGAAAAAGCAAATACACATATCATGAGAAGATTATACAGATGTGAATAGACATTGATTTCTGCTTATCTTTTTTTATTTCCGACAAACTCTCGAAGACAACTATAACATATTTTCTAAGAAAGTAAAAAGCTTCCATCGTTATTTATATATGGGACCGATCACCTTCTGCACCACCCGATGCAATTAAAATGACTTTTTAACTTTTCAGGAGTCCTAGAAGGAAGTTCCCTGTATTCAACTGCACTTATAAAGGTGTCAATGTTGTGTGTCATCACATTCAAATGTGTGTTCGTAATTTTCAAACTAATATTGGATTGTCCTTATTATTAATAACTGTGTGAGACCCTGGCGGGACGGTTGTAATTGTGGCCAAGTGAAATATGTCGGTGCAGGGCACGGACTCTGTCGTGGGTGTCTCGCCGCCTTAATATCGACGTTTACACGCTATAAATATTTTAAATTATAATCGTAATGTCGTTTTCATTTACATAGGATGCGACGAGTAGAGATATTCGCAGTGCATGCAGAAATATGCTTCATCCATCACTATCTTGGATATCAGGTCGGGGCTAAAACAAATAAAACTTTAGTGCGATGTACAAACTCCGAAAAGTAATGATTTCGTGTTATTCGCGAGCAACAGTCACCTGGCCGCTCAGTACCCACATAAATGGCGACGTCTCGAGCCAAATCGGTCCGCCAGTGCGCTTCATTCAATATGGGAGGCTTATTTGTGTCGAAAAAGTGCTCGGAAGACATAAGTCCTGGCTTGACGATCGCCGACGCGCCACAGACCTTTATATTCAAATCGTCCATTCAAGCCCTCGTCTACGCCTCGGCTGACAATTCGCGGCCATTTCGAAAAAGGAACGCCTCGAACGTCATATCGTTTGAATTTTGCCTTTTGGGCGCGCGATACGCATCTGGCTCCCGGAGAAGTTCCCAAGTCGGGTGTCGTTTATTTGGAGTCGATTGTGTCCGCGAGATCAGCCCTGAGATATTTGACGTCGGGGACTGATAAAGTTAGTGTTCTGCTGCTGCGGGACGTTAACGAGCCGCTGAGTAATGAGACGTGCCATTGTCATCTGAACAATGGCGGCTTCCGATACCCATTGTTTCTATTATTTAATATGATTGCGCATCGCGAAGGTGTTAGTCTTTTACGCCATCTGTTGAGTTTATTATTGAGATTTTGTAAATTATTCGTTTATCTAGAGAAAGCGTGAAATTATCTTTGTACTTTCTTTTTAATTCAACTTAAATTTATTCAGCCCAGATATTTAGTTCGATTTAATGATATGTGAGATGTGTTTGCAAATATCGAAGTCGAAAAGTTGATGCAAATGAGATGTGTGTGTCGCGCTGGACGGCCGCAGCATCTGCATACAATGTAGTGCTGCTACCTGTCGGCGGGCAAAGCTCCAGTTTGCGCAGTAATTTACTGCTGACGCTCCTCTGATCTCGTCCTCAGATAGCTACTGCCTAATGCTCTTGAAACCAAAATATATCAATGTATATCCATATTTTCTGTTCATACAGATAGGGAGAATGCCGCTTTGTTATGTACAAAGCAACCTATGAGTACCTAAATCCTGTTTTTTTTTCAATATCGTATTTTTAAAAATTCTCAGACCGCATAAGAAAAAAGCTGTGTAAATAAAGGTCTGTGAAGGGCAAAGTTTTAATAAATATTGCTAGTTATTATATGTTAACCACCAATTACGACGCGGGAACGCCCTCTGGTGACAAATTGGCGGCTCGCCTCCGCGCCCTTTTACACACACAATATGGCTGCTCGCGACGACAATATCAATTTAAATTAGCACTTATTTAATATACTCTATTTACAACTGATAATTCATTATTTAACAATGATTAACATCGTAGTAATTTTTGTAAAGTGTTGAATAAATTCGACAACACCAGTTATTCCAAAGTGGCGATGGAAATACAATATTTTGTTCGTTACGAACTTTTACAATCTGTCGAATTCTTCTTTTATATGGCTGAAAATACCATTATAAAAACTTTATGTAAACGATAATCATATATACTTAGAAACATAATTAAATAGAACTGTTTATAAATGAAGAAGTTTCCGATTCCGATGTGTTTAGTGGATCGTAAAGTTGTGTTTAAGTTTGTGAGGTATTTAAGTTTATTATGCTCCAGTTATACCGACTTTAATAGTTAATAAATGTTATCGTAGCGCTAGCGCGACTTAATGCAAGCGCTGACATACGGAAACCAGCTATAAGGTACGAGTTACATTCACACATGTAGAGACTAGCTGTTGCCCACGAGTCTGTCCGCGCGGAATTTAAAAAAAAACCTCATTAGATATTAGATTACATTACACATGACACACGGGGCTTTCTTCCCTGCTTTAAGAACTTGTAGAGCTGACAAATGAACCGTCTTTGTAGTTAGATTCGATATTTATAAGTTTCGATCTATTAGAGATAAAAAGCA